CAGTTCTGGTTCTACAGTTTTTATAAAGGAGTGGGCCAGTTCTGGTTCTACGGCTGATATAAAGGAGTGGACCAGTTCTGGTTCTACGGCTGATATAAAGGAGTGGACCAGTTCTGGTTCTACGGCTGATATAAAGGAGTGGACCAGTTCTGGTTCTACGGCTTTTATAAAGGAGTGGGCCAGTTCTGGTTCTACGGCTGATATAAAGGAGTGGACCAGTTCTGGTTCTACGGCTGATATAAAGGAGTGGACCAGTTCTGGTTCTACGGCTGATATAAAGGAGTGGGACAGTTCTGGCTCTGCAGCTGTCATTGGTCCGTTCTCTTGGGTTCCATGTTGGTTCTGAATGTTGGATCCTGTATGAAACTGAAAACAGTTTGGTCAGTTTAGCTCCTCTACCTCATTCTTCTCCCACAGTGTCAGCTCTGGTTTCTCCTGCTCCAGTTTCTGGGACCGGTCCACCACAAAGTAGATGATGTAGATGCTCCCAGCTAAAGACAGCAGAACCAGTATGTTGGCTAAGATCCGCAGACTGATCAGAACCGCCCTGAAGAAAACCAAATCAGATCAGATCAGCGAGTCTGGAGGAGGTACAGTAACCATAACACCCCACCCAAAATGGATTTCCACCATATTAACTGAYTGAACTCCCATCCACCCTCWGCAGGGTCCTGGAGGGTTCATGGGAGTTCAACCAGTCTACATGTGTTTTGTGGACTTGGAGAAGACGCTCAACCGTGTCCCTCAGGGACTCCTGTGGGGGGTACTCCAGGAGTATGGGGTACCAGGCCCGTTGATATGGGCTGTTAGGTCCCTKTAGGACCGGTGCCAGAGTTTGGTCCACATTGCCAGTAGTAAGTCGGACTCGTTTCCGGTGAGAGTTGGACTCTGCCAAGGTTGCTCTTTATTTTATCATTACTTTTGTCAGATTCTAGTTATTTCTGTGACCATTGTGTTTTTTTTTTCATTAAATGAAGGGGACCAACAGTTCTGTCCATGTGTGCACTTGTTTGATTACAGGCCACATAATAACAATGTGGCCTGTAATCAGTTTCAGTCAGGTCCCAGCTTCCCATCAGAGGTCAAAGTTTGAGGAGAACTTAGTCAATAATAAAACAGATATTTAATTAAAACTTTGAGTTTTGTGATTAAGTTGAAAATGAAGCTGAAATCCATCAAACTAAACTAAAACTGTTGGTTGTGTTTCTGAGGTTTATTTAGTTATCAATATGTCCACCAGAGTTTCAGATTCTGGAAGAAACCATATTTATCTGCTGCAGCTGCAGGAAGCTTAAGTCTTTTCTTGGTTCTGAAGGTGTTTTAGCTTTGATACCTCAAACAGAACCAGGCCTGGAGCAGGGCTCGTTTATCTGTTTGAACGGTTTGATTTACGGTGAAGCAGATGACTGAGAAGGAGCTCATGAGTGATGCTACCAATGATCTGGAAGCAGAAATTGAGACGTTAATGGAGAGTGGAGGAGATGACCTACAGGCTGGTGTCCTTCTTCTTCTCCTGCTCCTCCACGATGGCTTCCTGTGCAAAAACACAAACATCATTAGGCCTCTGCGTCAGGGATAAATCAATGTTTTATTATTATTTACTGCCCATGAGTCACAGACCCTGATGTTGTTGACAATAGCAGCTCCTTTGCATTCTGCAGCCTCTGGGTTTCCGATCAGGTAATCCCAGGCACAGAAAATCCTCCAGCAGAAGGTGAAGTTCTCGTCAGATGCACTGGCCAGACTTAAACGGGAGTTCCTGGCCATTCTACAAAAACACGTGATCCAAACGGACCTGAGAGAAATCCTCAGACACGTCAACAAACCATCAGGATTCCAATTAAAAACAACTGAAGATTACTTTCGTAACAGAATGATGAAGCTGTAGGCAAACACGGCCATCCCAACCAGGAAGTAGGCAAGAGGCAGCCGATAGCCAGCGCTGCCAATCTTCCTCACCCTGCCGTAGTAACCATAAAACAGTACRGAGTACTGCAGGTAGCCCTGTGGAGGACAGGAAACTTATGTAGATGAAAAAAGTTCAGGGCTGATTTATTGAAATGGATTTATTCAGTTTATTTTATTTATGAAGACARGAAGTAAAAAGTAAATGAATGAATAAAATGGTGCAGAATCTGACCCTTAATAAAAAATAACTTCCAACAAACAACAATGTAAACTTGAACAATTTACGTATTTAAAAAAAGAAAAACCGACCGTGTCCCTCAGGGACTCCTGTGGGGGGTACTCTGGCAGTATGGGGTACCAGGCCCATTGATACAGGCTGTTAGGTCCCTGTAGGACCGGTGTCAGAGCTTGGTCCACATTGCTGGTAGTAAGTCAGACTCGTTTCAGGTGAGAGTTGGACTCCACCAAGGTTGTCCTTTGTCACCGATTCTGTTCATAACTTTTATTTCTAGGAGCAGCCAAGGTGTTGAGGRGATCCTTTTTGGTGACCTTAGGATCACATCTCTGCTTTTTGTGGATGATGTGGTCCTACTGGCTTCATCAGATTCTGATCTCCATCTCTCACTGGAGCGGTTCACAGATGGGATGAGGATCAGTGCCTCCAAATCCCAGACCATGGTCTTGAGCTAGAAAATGGTAGGGTGCCTTCTCTGGGTCAGGGAGGAGGTCCTGCCCCAAGTGGAGGAGTTGAAGTATCTCAGGGTCTTGTTCATGAATGAGGGAAGAATGGAGCAGGAGATCGACAGGTGGATTGGTGCTG